CGCACCTCCGAAGAGGCAGTTCTATGAAAAACTGACACAGACTGTATTCCTGCATTTAAATATCAGCTGGTTTTAAAATGCCCTCTCCTAGGACAAGCTGCCCTGGTAACCACCTTCTCAGTAGTGCCTCTCTCCTTCTCCTCCCCTATTTCTCAGAGTGACTCTGGAACCTGAATGCAGCTCGGAAGATAAGCCTGACTTTTGTTCTCTGGTTAGCCTGGCCTCTTTCTCTTCAAACCAATGCTGAGAGATTTTTAATCCCTGGCCGCACAATGCAAAAAAACAAAACGAAACAAAAGCCAGTGATCACAGTTCAGTTAGAAATATCAGAGGTGAATCTGTAGTTTGGGACCTATGAATCTAAGTGTGGATCCTGATCCTCAAGATGACCCACTTTGAAATGGATTCACCTGTTTTCATGGAAAAAGTACAGGAATCCCTTCTATTTCTTCAAAGTCTGTTGGGTTGCCTCCAAGAGAACTGAAAGTTGGGACAGATGTGTGGGGCAAGAGGGGAGGCAGGGGTCACGCAAGAGGGAAGGAGAGGTGTGTGTCCTGTTGTGACCATCACTTGCTCCTGCTGGGGTGTTGGATATTAATTTGGTGGCTGCACCTGGTGTTTTATGTCTGTCCAAATGGGCTAGCATGTGGTTCAATGGCCTTGGATGTCCCCTTTCAGGTTCATGCTAACAGAATGGAGGGCTGAGAGTAGAGCCCTGCAAGAAATGAATTGGCTTTGCTGTGACTGCCACTTCGCCTTCCAACTCCCACCTTGTGAGAGACTCTGCAGCTGCCTCCCTAGAAGCACATTCTGAGCACATGTACGATGCTCATATTACAGGGGAGACTGCACAAGTTTACTTCCCCTGGTCAACACTGCTTCTGCAGAGTGGCAGGTTTACTTGTAGGATTGGGTTGCAGCTCATGTTCTTCTTAGACAAAGGTAGTCAGAGGGAGTCAGTGCAGGCAGCATTTAGAAATTGTTAATGCCATAAGGGGAGGTACAAATAACAGAACTAGGAGACATAAGGTCTGAAACTTGGGTTGGGCACTGTACATGTTTGCAGAACAGAGGACTTACTGATGTGCTGTGCATTAAATTATGTTAATTTATGACATAATTATGTTATTAATTAGGCATGCACACAGTGTAGGTAATTCCTTCCTCCCTCACCTTGAACCAGAAAGTGTGAATCATGTACTGAATTGGATATACTGGTCTTTGAGACTGTAGGCCAGCCTCAGGCACTGTGGAGCCCACTCCTCAGAACTTTGGCTTCAAGGGGAGCTCATCTCCAGGTTCACTAGGTGAATTGCTTTATTATTATCATATTGATAATGTGAGATTCTTTAGCCACTTTGGGGAGCTACTCTCTTCGGAAGCCTTTCTTAGTGGTGCCCACAGCTGCAGTCCAGGGGCTGTGCTCACCAACTGACGCATGTGCCTGCCCGAGTGCTGGTTCCTGGCCCACACCTGTGAACACTTCTGCTCGCACACAGGAGAACTTTCCCCTGCACAGTAATTAAAGCAACATCTGGTCTCTTCTTGGAAAGTGTCCCTCAAACCAGGAATATTCTTGAGAAGAAGATGAATCGGAAAAATACTGGTGATGCTTTAAAAGTGTCCTCGTTGACGTGGATCAATTTGAGAATGGGCTGAAGAGGGAGGAAAACTTCAGTTACCAAGATTCTAGATTAAATGTCAGGACTGACTCATGGGATTATAGTCCAGTTTTACCAAAGAACCAGTTCCTTGAATGTTGGAATCTAACTTTTATATTACCATTATTACTGTTATTACTGTTTTAACATGATTCTTTGTCTTTCCTGTTTTACTTTTCTCAATTTCTGAAATTGCTTTCAGGAGCTAGTAGAAAAAAACACAAATTTAAAACATTACAAGATTTTGCTTTCCTTAATCCACAATGATGTATTAAGTTTATAATTTTAGCATTCCCTATAGATATGTCATTCCTTACAAATACCATTATTCTTGGAGTAGAATACTAAGTTAGAGTTAGTGGGTTTCTAGTTTTAAAGAGCTCAAAACTATAACAAATTAAAAAATGAAAAATGAAGTAGGAT